TACAAAGCAGCTAGCTGCAAAATGAGGAAACATATGCCGTGCATTGCAAAATATTGGAAATCATGATATCATGTCGTAGAATGCCAAAATCAATTCCAAAGGAAAAGAAGAAAATGTGAAGAAATGAAAATGCAGAGTCTACTATTCATCATACAATGTTTATATGATGGCAAATTTCATAATGATGGCAATCTTTTTTTCCAAACTTTTTTTGTTCGCACGCTCACATCAGTTTTGGGGCTCCCAGAGGATGCCATCCATATAATCAAATCAACATGGCCTTACGAAGAAAGTTTAAATGAGACATCCTTGAGGTTATGAATGGTATGATTGCTTTTCTGATAGCCTAACCGCACCTAATGGTATGGTGGTATCCAATCTTATCTTCTTTTATTTCACCTATGGCCCATTTGATAGTGTAATGTCAGGAAATTACTGTGAGAAATACATCCAATCGACATCACCTTTGCAATCTTGCACATATACGTACATTAGAAAGCATCTTTGTTGAGATATTATATATCTTAAAGTTTATTGACAGTCTGTGCCACTTGTCAGACTAGTATTAGTAGTAAGTATGCCAGAAGTATAGAGTATAAAGTCAGCATGACACAGCATTAGCAAGAGTGCGTGAAGCAAGGAGGTTAGAGAGACTACTGTAAATCACAATTTTTTTGCGGTATTTTTATATCTAATGCTTTTCGCAGTCACTTTTGTACTGCGAATCTATCACTACCTCGAACTAATAATTAGCCAACTTTCTTTCTACTCTACCTACTAGTATCTCCAATGCGAACATACATGTATAGTTCCAGGAATGTAACAGTTATCAATTTTTCTCAGACCGTGGAGTTTTGCTACAATGAACAGAGTGAATTACAGTAATTTCTTTGGTGGAAGCAATATTTCTAGGTGAAAAAAAATCCACACATCACTTCATTTTGAAAATGACCTGTAAACAATCTATTAAATTGCCATGAAGAAAAACAATGCCAGGACATAATTTTCTAACATGTCTTTTGACAGGTGTCTGTCAAACAAGTAATTAAGTTTGCTAATTGGTGCAAATGACTAGATATAAATTATCTGTGAAACATAATGCCCTTATAATTCGTGTAATGGACTGGGAACTAGCCTGGGGGTAACCAAACACCACTAACAGTGCTTTGATATCTTTGCTGCCTTTCAGCAGATAATTAGCTAAAGCTGGTGTAGACAGTTTGTGATGAATGCTTTATCTGGTCACAGATATCTCATCTATAAATACCAATTTGTCATTGGTTTAAAAGATGTCTGTGTGATTTTAATGATCTGCCTAGAAGCAAACCTCCTTGCTAGAAGTCTTATTTTAAACCTTGCTATGTTGTACGACATACCTGGAAAGCTGCATATAAGTGATATGAATTGAGTTCTTAAATTTCACAATCCAATCTTATGGTATAATCATGTTATTGGCACAGAAATAGGAATAGTGCCCTTTTCTGAAAAGGTTAGAATTATAAGTCATAAAACAAATGTTAACAGTTGACCTAGTGTCCTATTTCCTACATCCTTTGAAATTTGGAAACAATCCCAGAATATTGTGTCATGGGTATCACATGGTTTAGAACATACACCTAAATGTAGTTATAAATAACTGATTTTGTGTACTGCTCCATGGTAGAATTATAAATTGTGCTATTACTTGGTAATTATTTATCATATATAACAATCAAGCAGTTCAACGAAAGAGGCATTTTGTAGCATAAATAATTCAAGCTTGTAGCCAACCACAAAATTATATTATTCCCCAAATGCTGTCAGTGGTCATGTAAATGGCACAGAAACACTGAACAGGCACACACATGTCTGATACTGTCTGCTAAGGCCACAGCAAGTAAATGTTATGGATGACATCTTCCACAGACTCCAAATCTAATGCAATAGGGCGAAAACAAAGAAGGCAGGACAAAAAACAAGGTTCCTATAGTTTCAAATTTTGACATCATAAACCTTGTTCAAACATTGTACAAATGGTTTTGATTCAGTGGGAACATCACATCTACACAGTCAACATCACATATATTTAAGGAATGAAATATGCCACTGCATCAAACTAAAAGATGATAACATTACCTTACATTATCAGAGCCTTATCTTGTCTCTTCATTTTATTTGTCATCCACGTTCTGGCATGGCAACATCTTTGCCCATTTTTGGCATGTTCACCACTGTCAGAGGGCAACAAATTTTTTTTATTTCAAAATCAGCCAAAAATCAATTCGCGTGCTGATGTCGTCCATAAAAATTACTTGCTGTGGCCTAATAAAAGTCCAGGCAATTAGACCCCCACGTAATGGCAGAAATATTAAGAGGCTATCAAAAATTCATGTGGGTTTAAGTGTGGGTGACGTTTATCCATTGTAAAGGCTTGTCCACCCCATCCATTTCAATCTACCAGCAAAATAAACAGCATGACTGAAAGATAACAGGAGAAAATGCTGACTTAGTATACCACGATTTTTCTTTAATAATGGCACAGACCTTCAGAGAATTAGTTTTTGTTATTTCATAGCTATACACTGAATAACAAAGTATAAAGTTTGGTACCCACCAATATATAGTAGTATTGGTTGTAACAATATATATTGATCCTAACATTTAATTTCATAGGAAAAAGCACTTTAAATAGATTCTGCATTTGCATGGTTAATGACATTTTTAATCATCATCATCATTTTTAATACTTCATTTATGATAAGAATATCAGTATGATATTGATAAACATTTCTAGGTCAGACATACTTTCAACAGTCTCTGTGAGTCAGAGATGACTTATAATATAAGAGGCCAGCACATGTGTATTACTGTAAATCATCATTTTTTTTTCATGGTACTTTCATGTACGCGGTTTTCGCGGTCACTTTTGTACCGCAAACTTATCATTACCATGAACAAATAATTCGCTTACTTTCTTTTTGCTGCACCTGCCACTACTGCAAATGTATAGTTCCGAGAACATGTCCATTTTTTGCAGGCCGCGATATACAATAAAGTGATTTACAGTATTGCCCAGATCTTGGATGCCTTTGTTGCCAAGTATCTGGTGTCCATCACACCTGTTGCTGTTCTTGAATCTATGCTGGCAACCTAAATTCAATAAAGAATCACTCCAACTCCTTATATATAACTGCATTACAAAGATCCTTGTTCTCTTCTTATCACACAACTTTTCTACGTTCTCCTGTTTTTGGCCTGAATTCTCATGCAATTCATTTTTTGCACCCTACTTTCTTCCTTGGTACTTTCTCACCTTCTTGTGTTTTGTGGTGTTATCAACAGTACTTGACACGTGCCTTTTGGAACACAGCATGGGGGAAGTGCCCCAACTAGCAAATATTTAATGTCCACACAAGCTTCTTCCTGCAAACACAGCTCAGTTAGGAGGGAATATTTATTACACGTCCTTTTAAGCTGTTGAATAATGCAAAATGTCATTGTGTTGATGTACAATAATTCATATAAAAACCAATATATTGTTCTCTTCTCTTTTCAAAGATGCAGCTCACCTTCCCCTTTTGTGCAAAATGCATTCAATTTGTTGGTGTCGGTCATTCCAACTCATAAGCATCATTGTATGTCCTGTGTACTGTAATTCACTAAATATGTTTGAAGTAGCAAAAGTTCACAGTCTGAGAAGAATAGTGGTGTTCACACAGCTATAACATATCCGTGTCCATAATATCACCAGGGTCCATAATATCGCCACCTTGAAAAAAAGTGTGCTTAAAGATATTTTTACTGCAACATACCCTAGGTATGTACATTTGAGGTGTGGAGGAGTGCATACCAAAAGTATGTTGCAGTACAAATATCTTTAAGCACACTATTTCTAAAGGTGGCGATATTATGGACCCAGGTGATATTATGGGCACGGATGTTACTTGCAGAGGTGGCAGGTGCAGAAAAAATAAAGTCGGCAAGTTATTTGTAAATGGTAATGATAAATTCGCAGTGCAGAAATGACTGCAAAATGACTGCACAACGACTGCACAAGCATAAAAGTACTGCGAAGAAAAAAATCAGGAATAACAGACTGAGTATATTGTCCCCATAGGGAAATCTGATAGTGGATAACTGCTTAATTAGTCGAACAAAACAATACAATTTAGCACTGTTTTTGCATTGCAATAATTGAGTTCTATATTGATATTAAGAATCAGCCTACTCGTTTGTAGGAAAAAATAAAAAGGAAACACTGCAGAATTATTCATTCAGTAACGTATATTGATGAATCATAGTAGCCTTGGACAATCGTACATGCCTTGAATACATTTTCCTGGTATTGGACAAAGGAAGAAAGGAGATTCTGAATTGAAATGAAATTGATTTTGCAATATATACATACAAACGTATACATGTATATACATTGTAGTGTATATCTATGTGTCTATATATAATTCATTGTTTAATGTGTACATTGTATACAGATGTTACTGAAGTTATGTTCTACCAGCCCCCAAAATACCAGCCTCAAAAATGGCAGATTATTTTGTAAATACAAAACCTCCCTGGTAAATATAACTGTTTCAAAATAACTTCAATGCATTGTGTTGTATATTTTCAAACGCCCCTACATCCTGTTTTCCGTAGGACAGGCCTGCGAAAGGTAACTGCGGGTTATTCTACATTCATCCCACTAAGGCTTCTGGGAAGGCCGGGCGGCCATATTGGAATCGTGATTAGCCCATTCATTTTATTGATGCCCGTGTAACGTAAAAAAATTGACATCCGCGTTTCTACATCGTACACCACCCGCTAGCCTCTACAAAATGGTAGGCTATTTTTTAATGACCTAATCATATCTGGAAAATGTACACTACAAATATCAAGGGAGAAAAAAATTTGAGCATGTAGAATTTTTTCCCCATGACTCGTTGGAGTCTGAGGTCATTCCCTTGGTGATTCAGTCGTCACATGTGGAGCGTTGTAGCATGATGGCTTCCTTTGTGTCCCTACAGGAAAGGGCCAGGCACAGATCAATGGAAGAGCTATCCAGAATAGATTCTCACAGAATACCCAAAGTCGGCGGATCCCCTGCTCTCTCCAGGTCGCCAAACTCACCAGGTAACCATTTAATATTCTTTTTTTTCCATATTTGATCATCATGACTAAGTTACCTGCGATGAACCAATTATGGCGCGCAGCTGTTTTGTTTAAATAGGTGACTACTGGGGAGGGGCATTGAAAAATTTGGTATTCACTCTACCAATGTTTGCTGGACAGTTCTTACGAGATAAGAAAAATCCGTAGATAAATAATGAATGTGGAATAGCTTGGTTGAGTTTGTATATCGTGGAAGGCATATTTTTGTATCCACTGTGATAAAAAAATTCACAAAATAATTGCTAACATAAAGATATACCATAGCTTATTCGGGACTTGCATTATATTATTATGCCATAAGAGAAAATGTAATAGCTGTTTTTGGCATATTCATGAAACTGTTTGATGATGTATTTGGTATATTCATAAATTTGTGTCCCAGGTACTAGTATTAATATACAGTGCAGAAACTCGCTCAAGGCCACATGCAGAAAGGGGAAAAATATGTCTATAACATTTCTAAATATCTTTTCCCCTTTCTACAAAAAACTGTATTATTATTAAAATAATTATACAGTTTTTTTGTGTATTCTAGTATATCCAACTTAAGTCTCAAATATCATTTTTATTCTATATGATCAGATGTGATGAGAAAAAATGCCCTAAGTTAGATATGTGGGAAAGGAAACAGTCCAGACAAAACTGAAATAGAAATAGATATGGTTATGTAAATATTATTTGTACAGGATGTTTTATGTTATTTTTGTGATGTGATAAAACACGTATACACATATTGTATTTTGGCCTCCTTTTTTGAAATTCATGAATTCAGAAATGACTAATTTGTCACAATATATCAGCTGTGTGCATGAATTCTATTGTTGCCATTTGCATGAATTTGCAAGAGGTCAAATCCTAACCACAAATAAGGACATGTGCACCTATCAATGGAATGCCAGGGGAAAAATTCATGTATTCTAAAACAGTTTTAGTGCCACTTGCATACTGTTGCTATGCGTTGTAACTGTGCTATTATATGCAGGCGATGAGCACATATATGATCAGGGCTTGAAATTCATTTTTTTGGAATAGGTGCACTGGTGCATCCAACCTAAAAATTTGCGTGCACAAAAAATATTTTGGGTGCACCATATGTGATAAAATAAGTAGAATGTCAGCAAAAACTGTAATTATGTTTCATTTCAAGAAAAGTACTATAACAATGATTGTATTATTTTTTATGACACTTAGGTGTTAAGAATATGCTGTAACTACTATACATTTAACATCTTTACATACGTTAAACCTAAGAAAACAATTGGGTGCATAGCTCCAAATTTGGGTGTACTAAGGTGCACATGCACCCAGTATTTCGAGCCCTGATGATACTGTAATTCCTGATTTTTTCACAGTACTTTTATGTTCACAGTTTTCACAGTCACTTCTGTACCACTTCTATAACATTGCAAATCGCCGACATTATTTTTCCCGCACATGCCACCACCGTGAACATATAGTTCCATGAAAACTTCAATTTTTCTCAAGCCATGAAATTTTGCAACCGTGAAAATTAAGTGAATTACAGTATTCAACATGTAAAATGTTGCAAAATGCCACATTGAAAATAGACTCCTTCTCTGTCAAGATAGTGTTAGTTTTTCTTTAGAAGAGATGATAACGTTACTCCATCAATTTCGTACTTATCTGGACGTGCTATCGTACATTTTTGCGAGAGCCTTAAGCCAAGGCCTGCTGTGAAATTCCCACGGGACATACCTGTACATGTAGATCACACACCTTCTAAGATTGACAGGTGTATTATTTACACCAGGCTTATCAAGCCACTACAACACCCACCCACGCACACATTACTGTCTGTAGCATGCTTAAGGCAAGGACATTATATAATGTCCTTGCTTAAGGGTATGTTTGAGAAGTCACCCTTTCCAAAATCTAACAGCAACACTTGGCTGTCTTTCTAAGGCTGGCATTTATCTTTCTGCTGCCCCCATGAGTTCAAATGCATTGAAAAAACACTCAATCATTATTTATAGCAATCTTACTAGAAAGAGTTTATTGCAAAGACGTGCCTAAGGGCTATTAAACTGCAAGTAGAATATAAGGGATAAGGGACCGTATTCTACACGTATATGGTACTAGTTTTGTTGGGTTTAACTAGATTTGAGGCAGTTGAAGACGAAATTACCCACTTCTTGTATGCTATGTGGGTTCTTTGATTTTAGTAGTAATCTTACTGACATTTTTGAGTTGGACAGAAGTCTGAAGATCATGTATATGGAAGTACAGGTGTATTTGTCTTGGTTTGGAAGAGTTAGCTGCTAGCCTGAGTACCGTCCTCTGAAGTTACTGCTTGCTTGCTATAGTAGAACTGGTTTTTGTGTAAATATCATCTAAGGCCAATTTAATTGGTTCTCATATCCATTTTTTCTGATTTGCAAAAGAAAAAAAGATTCAGGTTCTAAATCAATCAACTCCAGAATGCTCATATTTTGGACCAAACAGCTGAAGAAAGATCATTTTCCTTACTATTGTTACAGTTTTTTCAATCAATGCATTGGTGTGATAAAAAGTTTACAAGTCTTTATTTGAAATTTTGAATTATGAACTGGCCTGGTATGTTGATGTCATGGCTCCTATCATAGCTTTTGGGGCTATCAGAGGATGCCTAGGTCTGTTTTTTTGCCCTGTTGCTTCATTTTTTTTCCAAAAAATCTGAAAACAACAAATCAAATCAGTGTGGCCTGAAATACTATTACTTGAGTAAGGGATATTCATACTTCAAAAGCTTTTCTTGATGTCTTCACTTGGTTGCTTGCATTCCATTATTGACATTTAGTAAAATATTGCCCAATAAGCTATGATTCAAATAAATTCCTTGTAAATCAAATGATGACCACTCAATAAGTAATCATGAGATGACCGCTCTGGGATAGGGCACGTAATTCTATTTCCGCATTCTACTACAGGGTATATTTGAATTGAGAAGCTTTAGATTTTAATTTTGGCCTACATGTACATGAATAATTTTGTGTGAAGAGCTTGGTTCAATTGATTGCATTGCAGATTCAAATGACCTTGTCCAGATGAAAATAGTATATCTGTGTGACCGGTATACCACCTTTTGGCATAACACTCCAGCTTTGCAGGCATGCGGACTGCAGTGGCACCTAGCTATAATATTAGACAGAATGACCTGAAAATTCATAGGGCTAAAGGTGTATATTGATATATGTTGTAACATTAATTTTTAGACATGAGTCATCATAGGCAAGGTCACAAATGATTCATCCATGACAACACAATTTGAAATTCTCGCAAGATCAGAGGACGACTGCAATTCTGCCTGATACAGATAGGGGTGCTGCTGATAAGTTAAATAGTTTCTCAATGTTGTCCCTCTCTCTATATCTCTATGTATAGCTAACACATGTATGGTAAGCTCCTTTGACATTTTTCTTTCACATGACACCTATCTAATACATGTATCTTGTGATTTTGTGTCTTTCCAAAAAAGGAAGTGGCCTGAGCTGATAAAAATTAGGCACAAAAGAAATGTAATGTTTCATCTAATTAGATAAACTGAAGTTGAACCCTGTCACCTAGATACTGTAAACCACTTAGTATTCACGTTACTTTAATATTTACGATTTACGCAGTCACTTCTGTATCATGAATTTATCATTACCATAAACAAATAATTTGTTGACTTTCTTTTTGCTGTAATTACTGCCACCATGAACATATAGTTCTGTGAACATTTTTCTTGGAATGCGGAGCTTTGCAAATGTACAGACTTAGTGATTTACAGTGGTACAGTCAACTGGCAACTACTTGAATACTATGTATACTAGTATATGTCATGCCAATTATATTTAATAGAAGGTGAAGGTAGCAGGTCACCTGTGGTCATTGTCCCTTCTACCAAGATGTCTGCGTTTGTTGACATATTGAATGACTTGGCCACTGCCCATTGCTTTGACAGGGCACTTTGTTGTCATTGACTTGTTGAATGATACAAAAAATATGTTGTTTGGAGGGAAAAAACAAATACTACAACCACATACCATCTAACTCACTTTTGAATCAGTATATGGAGCTTCAAAACAAGTAAAACATGATATTAGCAGTTTATACAATTTTAGTTATAGTTGTAAACATTTGAAATTCTCCCAGCTAACATTGATAATACCTAAAAAAACATAAATGTAGTGATGGAAGTAGTCAAGCAGGTGACTACATGGCCTAGTAATGTTAACGTGTTTTTCCAACAAGACAAGTGCCATTATGAATCTCTCATGCATGTTCCTTGTGCAAACAGAGAACCTGTCCAAGACTTTACACATGTCTGACTTGTGCTGTTGACCTCTTAGTTAAACCTCTCACGTGGAGTTACCTGTGGTCTCTTTCTTCTATCTTACTCCAGGTGTGTTTTCTTGTTGGTTTGTTTGTGTGTTTTCTAACCAAATAAACATATAATACAGGAGATTTGAATTTATTTGTTTGAAGTATTAAATTTTGTAAGGTTCCTGAAGATATTACCTTTGGAATACGTCCATGTTGTTTCTCAAGTTTTTACTTGTCAAGTTACAAATTGTGACTAAATACTTTTTTCATAATTAATGAACTGTTATTTACGTGCAGTGCCCAGCATATTGATATATGATATTGAAGACCTATTAGATTATGTACTCATAAGGCCACACCAATTTAATTTCTTGGTTAACGGATTTTTCTAGAAAAATAATGGAGCGGGCGGGGAAAAAAAATAGAAACAGGCCTAGGCATCCTATTATGGCCCAAAATGGTACGATAGGAGCCATGAAGTCAACACACCAGGCTGGTTCAAAATTCAAACAATGAATTTTGAACTTTTAATGATTCCACTGCATTGAAAGATGGAATAACTGTAACAACTTGGAAGAAAAGGACTGTTTTCAACTGTTCAGGGCAAAATATGAGCATTTTGCAGTTGATTCTGATTTTTTTATTTTTTTTTGCAAATCCGTTAACCAAGAAATTAAATCAGTGTGGCCTAAAAAAGAGATTGCAATGGCATTCTTATCCCCCCTCTTGTGCCACAATGGAACAGTCCGAGCTATCCAGTTTCCACTTCAAACAGATTTGACCAATGAAGTCCTGAACAATCAATCACATCCCCATGTGCCCTGCAGCGTTTGGGGAGCACAAAAACAGGCACTGCACTGTCACACAACACATCAGATCAGATCAGTTTGAACAACTGCTGCTTGATGGGTGCCACAGACCCTGGAATGTGGACGTTGTGTTGACCAGTCCCTCTTAACAATTACCTGGACATTCAGTCGGACCTTACTCCTTGTTATCTGAAAGTGTGCGGAGAGCACTTCACAGGATCTTCGGTATGAGCAAGGTTGCCCAGTTACAGCGTAGCTTGTCCGAGAAGCTTATGTTGTACAACACGCCTGACCATCCGGACAAAGGTAAACCTGCACTGACGATACTGGCAAACACTCGCAGTCCATTCCAGTTTTGTGTAGCTATATAATTTATTATCTTTGCCATATTATGCTTTTTCACTTCCAGGAAGTACTGTGTTTACTATCAACATTAACTTTTCATAACAAAGTGAGTCATTTTAGTTATATCTATGAATATACCATTGCATCATTCAGCATATGATATTTCTGGCATACCCTCCTTAGTTTGTCGTTGGGGTAACAATAGAAATACCGACAAGACATTCGTAGTTTTGGTTTGCTATTAGGGTTTAGAGAAATGTTTGTTCTTGCAGTAATTGTTGTTTGTCCTGCTAAGACAATATCCAGAACAGGTTTTTCCATTCCGCTACACTCCATGGAATATCCCAAGACAACATTGTTCAGAGTCATTATAAAAGAAAAACAGTCCATAATTTAACCACCTTGAGTGTACCAAGGTATAAACGTCCATACCTACGTCAACAACGTTAGAACAAACTGACCCAGTTACTTAACTAACGTTATATATCTAGTGCTCAACGGCTCCTAAGGAACTGTTTAGATTGCTGTACTGTACTCCAAACAAAGTTGGGAAAATTGCAGATTCCTATGATACTCGTAGCTTTTGCTTCCTCTTTTGTCATTACTATCGCCTAGGGCTAAGTTGTTGAGTTGTTGAACCAAAAATTGCGGGCTAACTCTGAAAATTAGTGACGATTCATTACACGCACAAATTGTTTCTTCCCCGAACGTCATACATGACGTGAACAGTAAGAAACATGTTGACAAACCGGTTGTATGGAACGTAGTGTATTCTTTACTTTTGTCCCACAAACAATGTGTGTCCAGATTGACATTTATAAAACAGTGAGACATGTGAAGGATTCTTTTCAGACATGGCAAAACAAGATAATTTAAATTTGGCTGGCATGTTGATCTTGTCCAGAAGATATAAGCTGTCAATGCTCTACCTAACTCCCTGTCAAATTGACAAAATGTTGCTGAAATTGGCTTAATAGAATAATTAGGGACAGGACTTTTCACATTTCATAGGTGATTTTGTGATTTTGCATTAGGCCACACCAATTTAATATGTTGGTTTCTGATTTGCAAAAAAAAAAAAAAGATTCTGGTTCTGAATCAACTCCAAAATGCTAATATTTTGCCCCCAACAGTTAAGGAAAGTCCTATCCTTGGTAGTTTTTTCATCTATCAATACAGTGGTTTGATTAAAGTTCAAAATTCATAGTTTGGATATGAACCCAGTCTTTTGTGTTGACTTCATTGCTCGTATCGAAGCATTTGGGATGCCCAGACCTGTTTTTATTATTTTTTTCCCTGTCACTTCATATTTTTTCAGAAAAAATCCAAGAACCAACAAATTAAATTGGTATGGCCTTATAGAAAAGAAATTTCTGATCATTGACTTACAGACAGAGTTTATGCCTTATATGATATGAGGGTCTGCATGGGGGGGTCCTGGCAACGGTTAACGGTGAATTCAGCAGGGCCGATAACGCTTAACGGTAAATTCAGGACGGTCGGCAACGCTTAACGGTAAATTGACAGACTTTTTTTCGTTCGAGCTGCACTGGATTTGGTATCTCGCTTTGTGAGAAAAGGTGATCACTGACAAAATTACGTATATCTTACATGTAATGAAGCACGCATTAACGGTATGTGTTCCCTGTGTTCCTCACATGCCCTGGTCCCCGAGTGCGTCCACAAATAAAGGGGAGTCCGAGTCGACGTCAGCCAGCTTGCATTTTTTTCAGTCTGCCCAGTGGATTTTGAGAGGGGAGCGTCGTAATCTAGGGGGGTCCGGGGGAATGCTCCCCCGGGAAATTTAGGATTTTTAAGCCTTCAAAAACGCAATTTCCCACATTTTGAGAGGCAAATCATGGAGTTGAGAGTGTTTGTCGGTCCTTCTGATGTTTTCATATTTTACTCAAGATTTTTGTTAATTTGCCTGTCAAGGTTGACGGATTCTTTAAAAAAAATTCTGTAACTCTCCGCAAACTTCCGGAAATTGACAGGAAAGCTGGTTCTGGCTAGAGCCGAAGGGACCGAGCGCAGAAGCGCGAGTCGAGCGCCAAAGGCGCGAGCAATGTAGGGGGGTCCGGGGCATTCTCCCCCGGGAAATTTTGTATTTTGAACCTTCAATGACGCATTTTCCTGCACTTTGAAAGGCAAAATTAGGCGTAACGAAGAATTATTCATTAACGCTTAACGCTGAATTTAGGATGACAAATAACGTTTTACGTTGAATTAAAACGACCAATAACGCTTCACGAGGAATATACTGATAACGCTTAACGTTAAATTAGAGCGGGCCGGCAACGATTAACGGTAAATTAAAATAGCCCATAACGGTTAACGAAAAAGGGCATGCAGACCCTCTGATATGCCCATGCAGTTGTCCTTTTGTAACTGATAAGGAAAGGAATTTGTGCTGAGAGAATTCAGTCACATTGCAGAAAGCTGTGTGAAAACAATGGTATAGTTGTGTCAGGATCTGTGGTTCCTGTAGTGAAGTGGCCATGCAATACTTCCAGCTGGTGAAGGGTCCTCCATGGGTCAGTGTTGGACAGAACACCAGCTATGCAACTTGTATGCTGCTTGCTAGAGTCATGGAGGTATAATACCTCCATAGTCCTACAGTTCTGCGTGACTGTGTGGTTGTTAAAAGCTGTATTATGTAACATAAGGACGAGACAAAAAGAAAATTTTCTGTCCATTTCTGGCTTGTGAATTTGTTGAAAAGCTTGAAACACAGCTGTCAGCCATGTTTGTTTACATTCTGGTATGTATTTTGTGGTGGCACCACAAACTGAATGCGCCATGTGTGGCCTTTTTTTGTTCCAACCATAAATGTCAGAACTGTGAGATAATTGCACAAATATGTTGAAAGTGGAAGTAAATTACAATCAAACTAATATTTCTTTAACGTTAAATATATTCACATTTTTTGGTGCAAAAATGTTACATAGGATAATGCCCCTTTAATTGTTTCTTACAATGTTTCTGGTTATGCCATGTGTTCAGGAGAAAAATTGCAGTCACAATGAGACATTTTTCCGCCAGTTGTCAGGCCTGTAGAATTTTGTCTATTGGGTAAGTCCTGAAGTGATTGGTTTTCCATGCATGTGCTAGTGCTGTCAATATTTGGACGGCTGGGTATTTGGGTGCCAGCTGGTAATAGATTTAGGAAAATAAATTTAGGGGAATTTAGCAAAAGGGAATGAAAAACATTAAGATTTCAAAGTATCTCATAACCCTAACTAAATTTAGATAGAACAATAATGGTTAACTGTAAATAAACAATAAGTAAAACCCGTTCTTTATCATAATGTTTATGGAGAATATGTAACAATTTGCTGTTATTTCATTTCATTTAGAATGCTCTTAACTGCTTTGTCACTTTTTCCTGTGAAAGTAATAGATATTGAAGCCCACAGCTTTGCTGTCGAAAAATTCTTGTCAAATACAGTATAGGAACATGTAACAGTGAGTAGTGACATGTAGACAGCTGCTTCTGTGTCTGCTATGTGCCACAGAAATGCAGTAAACATTGACAGACCTGCTCAAATGCAGCAGCAGTAGGTGTTTGGATTGGCCACAGCAGTTAGGATTTAATGATATTGGCTCAGTCATTATTGGGGATTTAAACAAAACCTGAAATTAGTCTGTTCCTGCTTTAGATACCATACAAAACTTTGGAGATTGTCGCCGTAACCATTCATAATCTCCAAAGTTTTGTATGGTATCTAAAGCAGGAACAGACTAATTTCAGAACTTGGCGTGGCCTAACACATGTTCAGAACCAAGAGGTCCCAGGTTTGAATCCTACCAAGTCACCAATCTTGTGCCCTTGGGAAAGGTGAAAATGAGTACCTAGCTTCGGTTAGGGACATCCCGTGTTTGGGGAGAGCCATACCCTGCACACATTACAGAACTCACGACACATTACGAAAAAGAACCACACAGTTTAAAAAAAAGAGTAAGGGCATGCCCCGGTGTGCGGTGGTACAAAACCTACTGTCTGGAAGCTGGGGATTCACTACAAACCACCCAGACGTTGTGGTGAACCCCGTCTCGTATCAGCCACACCATGATTTACATCATCACCCCCTATACGCACGAGCCGTAACGAATTTACATTGCATTATGATATAAGCATAGAAACGTGATATTATGCTTCACCTCTGATGAGGATGACTGATGACGATGATGATTCTATTCTCACGGCCGAGTTCAGCCAGCTCAGAAGTGTCACAACACATCCACATCGAGTCATCTGGACATTCTGTTTCACTGGACACCGAACAAGACTACTTCCTTCACTCAACTGCGACGATGGCCGACATTGTTTTCCAGATACAAATTGACCCAGTGTTGATGTCACACTTCAGCAAAGCCATGTGACAAGCTTCACTGGGTCAGTCTACTGAGGAAGACCAGAGTGACTGGTCGAAACCTCTAGGTGAGAGAACTGTGTTGGATCAAACTTTAAATAACAATTCCATCTTGTCCTTACTACAGGTTACATGACCCCAGATGAAGACTATGACCATGAGCGCAGGTGTGACCATGAGGAGTATGAGGAGGAGGAGGAGGAACACCATCTCATCGCTCCTAAGAAGCTGCCCAACCCTGTCAAGGACTCCAAGAACCACCAGCAACTCCATCGAGAACTGACACAAAACAAAAGACTGTAAGTTTATCATACTGAGGCCATACCAATTTAATTTGTTGGTTCTCAGATTTTCTTCATTTTTTTCTGATTTGCAAAAAAAAAAAAAATAGATTCTGGTCCTGAATTAACTAAAAATGCTCATATTTTGCCTCCAACAGTTGAGGAAATTCCGTTTCTTCCTAGTTCCTACAGTTTTCTCATCTATCAATAAGTTTGATGAAAAGTTCAAAATTCATTGTTTAACCTTTTGTGTTGACTTAATAGCTCCTATCGTAGCATTTGGGGTTATAATAGGATGCCTAGACCTGTTTTTATTTTTTTCGCCCTGTCGCTTCATATTTTTTCTGAAAAAATCCGAGAACCAACAATACCAATGTCGTAGAATGCCAAAATCAAAGGAAAATGTTAAGAAATGAAATTAAAAAGTATATTATTCGTCATACCATACTCTGTATCATTTGTTCAACCTTCATGACCACGTAGATTTCATGTTTTTTTTTACCAAACTTTTTTTTTATTCGCACGCTCGCATCAGTTTTGGGGTTCCCTGAGGATGTCATCCATATACTCAAGTCAACATGGCCTAAAGTGATTTACAGTGTGTTAAGATATGAACATAGCAGTCCAGAGATAAGAGTCTATGTTATCAGTTGTAAAGAACACTTTTATCTACTTTGTTCCGATGTGCAGGGGCATCAACCCTCTCCACAAGAAGCCTGAGCTGCAGAAGAAATGGGAGGAGAGGAACAGAACCAAGGACAGCGAGAAATTCAGGGAACAGCAGGAGACAAACATCACCTTACAGCAGGAGTTCCTCATGGAAACACAGAAACGGAGAGAGGTGAGGGTCCAGGGAGAAACCTTCAACTTTAAAAGCATATTAAAAACAAAATATATCATTACTGCCATTTCTTAGCACATTTTCATTGTCATTTCAAATTTGGACCTTTTGAAATAGCCCAAAAACAAGGTATACATGAGGCATCTCTTTATTTTTTGGGTACCACCCATAAATACATGTAGCTAGAACCAGCCTACGATACGAAACAAACAATCACATTTTTGCCTCACAAATATTAGTATGCTATAGGATAGGATTGGTTCAAGTAACTGCTAAAAGAATGACTAGAAAACTGACTTTGAACATCCTGTTTTGCTGCCCTGAAATTGCATGGGATGCCTTTAACTTAAAGTTTAAGGTTAATCTTGAAAACTTCATCCCAGACTTGGCTATCTTGGGCTGAAGTACAATAGTTTTTTTACATTTCTGTAACTGTATACATGTACATGTATTGAGAGTCTGTCAAAACTACTTTTGCCTTCGGCAGTAGCATTGAATTACCATTTTTCTTAGTTTCAAGTCTCTTAGTACAAATGATAAAAATAGAAAATGAAGCAGCAATGCATACTTCTTGGTATTTTTTTATCACAGAAATTGTAATAACTTCTTGTACTTCTTTACCAGCGACAAGAAGCCCAATCGAAGGAGGAGAGTAAAGAAGACAAGCCAGAATTTATGAGAGTGTCTCTGAAGTCAACAGGAAGACCAGTTACACCAGAACACTCCTAATGGAGGGTCAACACAGGACCATGTACAGCACTTACACTTTAAGGCAATACATTCTCTTTTTTTCATCATTCCACTCCGAAGCTACAGCATGGAGAAAATGGATGCACTCTGATTTACTGTAGCCACTGGCAAATAGATGAGAGGTCACATCAATGTCAATTTCTTATCTAGGATATTCAAAACATCGGACATAAATTTTGGAGATAATTATCTGGAGTCCAGTCTGTCTGAAAAGACTATGACTATCTGGAGTACCAGCCAAAAGATGTTTGAAACATTCAAGTTTGGATAGGTCACCTTGTTTCAAGTTATTCCCCAGCAATAGCTTGTCAAAATATGACAGCCGAAAATTTGTGAGACATAGGATTTTCTTCTTACACAACCAGTAGTGTTTCTCGCCTGCTTACGTTTTGATGCCTTTCAGAAACTTTGAAACTTTATTCATCAAAACAACATTGCAGGCTGAAACAGCCTGAATTGTGTTGCAAGTCACATGTAATTCCATATTAATAATAACAATTGTAACATTTTAGCGTTAAAAAGATTTAGTGTTAAAAGAAATATCCGATAATGACGTATTGTATAAAATATCGATAACACATTAAAATATAGACAATAATTGAGTGGAACAACTTAAGAATACAAATACAAGGAGGCAATAAAATTTTTTATAAAAGTCTATAGTGTCCTTCAGATTTTAAAAAGTCTATAGTCTTATAAAAAGTCTATAAGACACCTTCCTTAGAGCTTCTGACTGGAGTTCTGCTTCTTACCACTAGTACTAGTAGTAGTATCTGTAGCCAACATAGGTGGCGCATTTGTGGCAAGAAGCAGTACTCCAGTCAGAAGTTCGGAGGAAGATGCCTGACACGCATTGAAAGGTAAGCAGGTGGAAAAACACCACTAGTTGCGTAAGAAGAGAATCCCTATATTCTATATGACATTTTTAAGAACAATTTTCGTTTATGTTTATGATAGTGAAATATCTATGATACATACATACACATGTGTACATGTACTTTCCCAAGTGCCATTGAGGCATGACTGTAAGAAGGAAACTGCAACCTGAAACTTGTTTTCCTGGCTGTCTTCTCTCTAGCATGCTATTTCACACTAATAGATGAGGAAATGATATTGATGTGACTGACGAAAATCTTGAGCAAGATGCTGAGAAGGTCGCCAACATTTTGAGTTTCATAAGAGTGAATGGAGAGGACGATACTTGCAACAAACCAGGGAGTGGTGCACTATTTAGAGAAAATGGAGTGCTCATTTAGCCTCTACCAGGCCTCGGGAGGTGGCAGGAAAGAGTAGAAATTGGCCAAATAGAGAGAGAACATGCCGGGTAGTTGGTCCGCTAGAGAGTGCAGTTCAGTTGTGGCAAACTGTACTCTCTAGCGGACCAACTCCCCCGGCATGTTATCTCTCTCTATTAATAAATACTCTTTCCAGCCGTCTCCCGAAGCCTGGTAGAGACTATGCTCACTTACCCAACTCTTAGCAGATGTCCCTACCTAAAAATCAGTGTACATATTACACATTACAGTTGGTAGCTATAGAGGTGTCATAAAAAAGTGCATGACTATGCAAAAGATGCAATCTGTCATGAAAAGAATTATGCTCTACCCTATGGTTTCTTGAGTACAGACTCAAAGGGGGACACATGTCAGCCTAAGAATATCAGACAGAGTAAAAAATGAATAGGGGCTCCATTATCTCTACTTGTTCCATGACTCTGAACCAGGGCTCTAGCCAGCACCTGTTTTTCTGTCAGTTACAGGAACTTTGTGGTGTGTGACAGAAAAATTTTTTGAACCATTCCATCACCCTTGATAGACGAAAATCTTAGATAAAGATATAAAAACGTCCACTGACAACCACTCACAACCCCATGATTTGCCTCTTGATATGCTAGAAATTGGGTTTTTGAAGGCTTGAAATTTTGTTGAAGGCTTAAAATACAAAATTTCAAGCCTTTGGTGCTCACTTTGTGCCTATGGTATTCCACCCTCCAAATTCGATCATGATCCTGGAATGACAGAAAAAAGAATTTATGCTGGCTAGAGCCCTGTTCTGAACAAACCAAATGATCTTTCAGGGGTACCTTTAATAATCATATCCACTGTAGACTGGCCTTCTGTTCCAATACAAGGTCTCTAAGGCCAACGTACATGTAAACTCACAAGTTAGTTCTGTGTTTGTCTACTCTTTGCTTTGCAATGTATCATAATTTTGTTTATTTGTTTGCAATGGTAGTGATAAGGCATGTAAGCAGTGACAGGTGTTTTAGGTATGCTTAGTGAATGATTCTTATCAAGGTAGTTAAACAAAGGAAAAAGTAGATTCAAAAGATTTGTTTAAATTTGTACTGTTATGTGTATACCAAGTTCCTTCGTCTAGCCTAATTACAGATTACAATCATGTTCTATTCTGTATCTTAGACTTCTATGTTTGTAATCATTTAAAACAATATTTGCTTCAGAAAACTATGTTTCACATTCCTGATCAATTCATCCATATTGTGATTGCTAGTTTTGCACTGTGTTGAAGCTTATACGAATCATTTAAATTCTCGAATGTCACTAGTGATTTGATGATGACCATGTTTACTCTTCTGTACTTCTGTACTTCTCGTGGATGAGTGTTTGATTTCTGTATTTGGAAATTTTGTTTTAAACAAGAGTTGATTGTCATTCCAAATTATTTTCTTCTCCTATATGTTTTATAGATGGAACAAGTCTCATTTATTCCATATGTCATTCAGAAAAAAAGGTGGTTATGGGAAAAGATTTTATGGACATGGGATGACTTAGCTAACATAATATCTTGATTTGTATGTCTCTTATTGACAAAATTCTTGGTCTTCTGAACTCCACAAGCTTTCTACTGGTCTTTTTTTTGCAAAATCACTGGTGTTCTGTGAATAGTGACTTTTGTTGTCAGAGAATATGGCCATTTGCTAATTTAGCCATGTGCAATGATTTTGTAGACTACACTAGGCAATGTACATGTATATGACTTGTGGAAAAATCATTTATATGTATCTCCTTGGTGATTATTTTACTTTGTAGGTGTTGCTCTGTCACTGTCTTACTTACGCATTCCTGGTAGTGATTTTAAGATGATGTTGAAATATTCCTGATTTAATAATTACAATGTTTGACGAAGATAATGATTCTTTGCTCTTGTAGGTTAAGTATGTAATTTCTTTTGTATACAATATATGGTGTGGCTTTGGGTGGTTCGTATTAAGAGTGGCAAACCAAGAAAAAGGCAGTTAGAATTTACTATTTCTTTTAATGCTTCTTGATTGTAGACACATGCCATATGTACTTTATCAAGTTTAGGTATGAATCTTGTCATTGTCTCTTCAACTTGGAAACTGAGGCCACAATAGATAAGTAATACAACATATGTAAGTGTGTATTGTATATAACATCTATAAATGTCTTATGTTGAACATTTTTTTTAAGTTCCTTGATTGGATACCTGAAATGAGGAGGATAACGATGATAGAATGCTAGTACCTGAGGTGTCACCTGGTGACTGAAAGTAGAATTACATCCTTTTATGATACCTCCAACTCTCCACTATTAAATTGGCTCCTGGGACAAAAATGCATAGGAATGAAGTGAGAAGTACTAAGAATATTATAAACTGATTTCCATGAATCGGTCGTGACATTGACAAAAGTTTCTGCAAAGTACGACAAATGCTCCAATGTGCATGATGTTGTAACTTGTGAGTGTTGTGAACTGCTGGGGTGGCGGCTGCAGTACCACAGTGAGTCAAAGAGGGGCAGCGTTGCACTGTGTCAAACAGAAGTATTTGCCATTTTGTTTTACCTTGTGACTTTTTTCTGCTCTTTGATACTTGAAACCTATGGAATAAAGATTTCTCTTCATATTTGAGGATGTTGAGGTTTTCTTGTCTCTCGTTTCATTAACTTTATTGTAGAAATGACTATTAAAACAAGCATGGGAAAGTTCAAAGTCGGGAAAGCTGTTTAGCATCTGTCACCGGGAAGTGTTAGCTATGTGAGAGTGTACCATTGTGCCCAGTGGCAATGGCCAAATGTGGTTACTAGTGAAAGAAACCCCCTGGAAAGGAATGCAGACGAGAATTTCAGTCTGTACCATGCAACAAATGCTGTCATCTACAGATTCTAGTCTCTACTAGACTAACTACGTTGGCTATAACGTTATATAGGAGAATATTTGCCAGGGGAGTTTGGCCGCTTTGTAGTTTGACTGGCCTTCGGAGGGAAAGAAACTACCTCCCCGCGGCCGGACTCCCTTGGCCAATTTTACTCTCTTTTTTGCCGAATTCTACGATCCATATTCCCGTAGAAAGGCCTGGTAGAGGCTATACAGATTAGTGTGAATAAAATGTTGGCATAATCAAGGTAATTTAACAGTTAATGTCCTTGGTGTAATGCAAAAGTTTGACATGCTATTCACATCTACATGAAGAACTCATTCAAAGTGACTCAACATTCAGGGCATGGTGTCAAAGTAAACATATTGATAATGTTGAGATTTATATAACGTTACTTTTTGTAGATCCAAAACTCAAATGGCAGTCCTACGTTCAAGTAAACATATTGATAATGTTGAGATTTATATAACGTTACATTTTGTAGATCCAAAACTCAAATGGCAGTCCTACGTTCAAGTAAACATATTGATAATGTTGAGATTTATATAACGTTACATTTTGTAGATCCAAAACTCAAATGGCAGTCCTACGTAACGTTACAAGCGTTATCTGCATAAAGAACTTGCCAATTTTACTCTCTTGCCAATTTTTTCCCCTTTTTTCTAGTTTTAGGACTAAAAACACAGATTTTTCATTCAATAAGACACGAAAGTATTGCATATTTCCTACTTAACATTCTGTTCATGGCACAGGCACGAGTCATGTGCCTCAAGTGTTTACAAACATGTGAGTGGGCGTATGCCGAAGTTTACCGAAGCCCTGATGACGTACTTCGTGCGTTGTCGGGTCAACTCGTGAGTCATCGGCTTCTTCCGGAAGCCTTCCGAATCGGGCCAACAAGTTCATTTGCATAAGGTCAAAATGGCGGTTTCGTCAGTTTCTCAAACAGTCGATATGGAAAATGAAAGGCGATCGTGACCAAACTGCGAAGAAGTGGTGATCAGAGGTGGGCAGAATCAAAAGGTAAGTTGGATTGGATCCTGTGTGCGAAGTTTGGTTGTGCAGGAGTGCTGCGTTGGCCGGAAATCGCGACCCAAGCTTGTCGAAAAGTTGAAAATCCAGTCTGTCGCCCACGATTTAAAATTTTGATTCACTCAAATTATTCGACAAACTTGTTTCGTACTTTTCTCACGACGGGCGCAATGGGTGCTGAT